GGGCTGCGAACCTTAAGGTCAGTGGTTCGAAACTACCAGCTGCTCCGCGGGAGAAAGATGAGGCTTTCTACTCCCGTAAAGATTTACACCCTCGGAAATCCTGTACAGAGTCTCTATGGGTCGGAACCGACTCGACGGCACTTAACAACAACAACAACATACATAGATATATAGTCCTGATGCGGTGGTGTGGGTTAATACACTGGACTGTAAGTTCAGTTTGAACTGCAAGGTCGGTGGTTCACGCTCACCAGCCCCTCCTTAGAAACTCTATACAGGGTCACTAAGAGTCAGAACCAACTCCACAGCACGTAACCACCACAGCATATAACCACCACCATATGTATATTGCTATTGTTAAGTGCTGTCGAGTCAGTTCATATACATATATATAAATTCAGTTAGCACTGGACTACAAACACAAGGCCCATGGTTCAAGCACATCAGCCGCTCTATGGGTGAAGGATAAGGCTTTCTGCTCCTTAACAGAAACATATGTATATCGTTGTTAAGTGCCGTTGAATCGGTTCTGATTCATAGCGATCCTGTATAGGGTTTCCAAGAAGCAGCTGATGGGTTTGAACTGCCAATCTTGTGGTTCAAAGTCCAATGCTAATCCTACAGTGCCACACCAGAACACACACACACATATATATGCTCAATATATAGAGAATTAGTCTCCCGGGGAGGAAAAGGTTATTGGCCATTTGAAAAGTTACTCCTGTCCTATGTGAACTTGCCCTTTACTTAAGATCCCATATTCCCTTGCCTTGGCACAGTGTGAAGAACATTTGCTTATGATTTATCATTTTCAAGCTACTTCCATACCCTTTATTTATCTGGGATGTATAGATGAGCAGCTACTTTCTGCCTGACCCTGTACTACAGTCAAACATGTAGACACACTCAAGGAGCTGACAACTTAAGAAGGTCCAGAGGGTGGCTTCATTTTCCCATTGCAACAGCCCTGGGGGGCAAGTAGGATGGGATATTGTGTATTTATTTTATAGATGAGGAAGTCAAAGACCAGAAGGTGAAGTGAGTGGTTGATGTACACACATTGAATTAGGAACCAAAGTATCTTCATAGCCAGAGAAGAGAGAGGCCAATGGTCTCTAGAAATGCACATTCCAAACAGTTGTGCAAATATATGTAAATATGTCAAAGCTGTGAGGCTTAGGAGAAAGGAAAAGGAGCCTGCTTTTTTTTCCTGGGTAAGAACAGTTGTTCTTACCCAGACAACACTTGAGAACTTAACTCTGCTCTTCCCTTACAGACATATGCAAATTGCCCAAAGAAACTGGCCTTTGCATGGCTTATTTTCGACGCTGGTGGTACGATAAGGAAAATAACACCTGCTCCATCTTCATCTATGGTGGTTGCCAGGGGAACAACAACAACTTCCAAACCGAAGCCCTTTGCCAGAACTTCTGCCAAAAAGACGTGAGTCCCAAGGACCCCAGTCTCTCATTCTCATCAGGGTCATGTTGGGAGGTCTGGGTGATGCTCAGCCCATGCCAGGAAGATTATGACCTTGGCAGACCTGGTGCTGACAGAGCATCTCCCATCACAGGGTGAGAATGCACATCACAGAGGGCTAGACAGAGTGGCTTTCTAGAAACTGAAGCTGGGAAAGAAGATGGCCATTAGTCAAAACTGGCCAGTATGAAGGGAGCTAAGAAGGGTGGAAGGAGGATGCAGACGTGGCAAAATCTCAGAGACCAATTCAAGAAGATCACGTCCAGCAGCCTTTTGTTGTGGTTGTTAAGTGCTGTCGAGTAGGTTCCAATTCAAGTGACCCTGTATAGGGTTGCCGAGGAGCAGGCTAGTGAGTTTGAAACGCCGACCTTGCAGTTTAAACCGACCTTGTGATCCAGTACTTACCCTACAGTGCCACAAACAGCCTAGACCAGACATTATTGGACAACCCACCATTCCAGGACACTCATTTATTCATCACAATGCTTCACCAGCAATCCCCTCCCATTATTTTTCCCTTTAAGGAAATAGCCCTCTGGGAATCCCTGGATGATGTAGACAGCTGAACACTCTCAGTTGCTCTTGTATTAAGCTGACAGCAACTGGCTTTTCATATATAGATGAGGGGGCTTCAGTTTATGAAAAACTGGAATTCATATGCATACGATACACACTAGTATGTGTGTGTATTTTCATGTATGTGTATATATATCCAAAACCAAACTCAATGCCATTGAGTCCATTCCAACTCTTATGACTTTGTATAGCATAGTGGTTACAAGTCGGGCTGCCAATCTCAAGGTCAGCAGTTCGAAACTATCAGCTGTTCTGCAGGCGAAAGATGAGGCTTTCTACTCCCGTAAAGATTTACAGCTTTGGAAATCCTATACAGTCATCATAAGTCAGGACCAACTCCATGGCACAAAACCAACCAAAAGGCTTTCTGAGGTTATAAATCGTTATGGGAGTAGAAAGCCTCATATTTCTACTATGGAGCTGCTGGTGAGTGGGTTTGAACTGTCCACCTTAGGGTTAGCAGTCCAGTGCTCATCCTACAGTGCCATCAGGGCTCATATATTTGTGTGATACGTGTGTATGTGTAAGGGACCCTGGTGGTGCAGTGGGTTAAGTATTGGGCTGCGAACTGCCAGATTGATGATTTAAAACCACCAGCCGCTCCCTGAGACAAAGATAAGGTTAATCTGCTCCATCAAGCTTTACAGTCTCAGAAATCCTGAGGAGTACTGCTCAGTTTGATAGGGTTTCAGTGATTCGGAATCGACTCAGCAGCAGTGGGGTGCTTTTGGTCATGTACATACATAATCCTCCAAAGGAAACCTACTTGTTAATATTCTTCTGTGAAAACATGTACAAACATAATTTTAGAACTGGCTCCAAAGATAAGCTAGGCCCAAACTGCTTACTTAGTCCTCACCTCCATTCTCTAAAAGCTCCTATTTTTGAAGGTTTGAAGATACTCTGGAACTATCCAGGATCTGGCTGAGGACCCGAGACTCTGTGCGCCTGACTGATGCTCAAAGTTGGCTTCCATTGTTCCTCGCTCAGCTTTTCAAGGCCTGCCGTTTCCAAAAACTTTCAGAGCCTTGGCAACTGCCTCTCTCTCCAGTTCAGCCTCTTTTCAGACATAGTATCTCCCCTTGTGGTCCCTTCTCTATGCCTAATTCCTTTTTATTCAACTTTCTGGGCCCCTGTTATCTCTGTGCAGCTCCCAATTTTTCCCCAATAAAGTGCTCTTCTTAGTCCTCTGACACTGACTCATTCAGGTCTGTTCCGCACATGACACTTTGCAGACTTGGGGCCTCTGGCAACAGCTTTACAGAAAATGAGGACAATCAGAACCTTGAGAGTTGAGAGCTCTTGGAATATTATTAGCCTCTTCTCTTTCTTCAAAAATTGCAAAAAGCCTTTAAGAAAAGGACTCATGGGTATTGCCTTAGTTTAGATACCCCAGAAGCCAACCCTGGGATAAAGGCATGGATACAAGCAATTTATTTGGGAAGTCTCCCAGGTAGCACAAGGTACAGCTAAGAGAGAAGAGTTGACAATGGGCTGGAGAACGGGGGATCTTTCCAGCTCGGGACCGTCTCAGGAACCATGTAAAATTTGCCTCTGAATTTTCCTTTTCTGTCTCCAGTGGTAGAGGAGTGGAGGCATAGATTCATTGAATCCCATGTCCCACTGGATACCCGAGTTATGAAATCCCTTGCTGTTCCAAACTGCCCATATGCAAGCTGAGCAAGCTCTCATGGAGCCAGAGAAAACCTACAGCAGAGACAACATTAGCACTTGAGATGGATGCTGTCAGTTTGCACCGGACTGTCCCCTACAGCTTCCAAGAGTGTACTGGAATGTGGCAACAACAATGCCTGTGAACAATACCCATTGCATTGTTCAGATTAACTCATGCCCCACACTGAGTCCACTCTTTCACCGAGGCTTCAAGATGTAAGTTGGGAGACTCAGTAGAACAATCTTTAGACCTCACTGCTGCCGCTAGTTCTGAAGTCATGGCTAACATTGATCACTTCCCTCCTGCATCACCTATTCTAAATTCGAAATTGCCCCCAATGATAGAAGTTCTCCATTAGCTCTAATAAATTCTGCTCTCAACATTGCTAACATTGGCAATTTAACATCATCTCTGTTTCCATGGCCTTAAAAAACTATCGGAAGATTTAGTAGTCAGTCTGGTTCCTCCCCAGCACCACACTCACCTTTACTTTCTGACAATGGCTAAAGAAAAGAAGTAGCCCAAAGAGAAAGATGTAAGAAAAGTACAGGAAATGGAGAAAGAGATCCAGGCAAGAAAGAATTACAGAAAGAGAGAGCAGGGCACAGAGTCAAAGACAGCAAACAGCACAGAGAGGAGAAAAAGAAATAGCGGGGGAAAAGAGACAAGAAAATAATAAACATGTTGTGAGAAGAGTGAAAATGGAAAGGGAGGATACTGTTAACCTCTAAACTCCCCCTGGAAACCTGAAGACATTGGAGTTGAACATTCACTCCCACTCAGTGAGTCTAGAAAGTCCCCTGCAAGCTTTGTTCCCACTCCCTGGCTGACCAAACAGACAGCCCTGTTCTGAGAACTAAAGTTCTCTAACAAGAGCCTCCAGGGCAGGGGCTTTGGTACTAGCTAATCCCAATTCATGGCTCCAGGGACTTGGTGTTCCCCAGCAGAGGGAGCGTGGCTGGCTTCTCTCCAGTGATGTTAGCTCCTATGGTGCTAGGTTAAGCCAGGGCACCTAGAGTTCAGAGACAAGAGTTGCTGAGCAGCAGTTCTTCATTTTAGTGCCACTGACCAGGCCAGGTCCTGCTAAAATGGGCCTCTCGGGACTTCTCCCAATCCTGGTACCATTCATCCTCCTGCAGAATGTCCAGGATCCTGGGCTGGTTGAGGGCTCCAGAGGCAGTAAGTATTGAGGACTCAGTCCTTGCTCTGGAGAACGGGAACCTGAGTAGGAGACAGGAACAAAGAACAATTCCATAGCCTTGGAATATCCCCTCCCTCCTCCTCAGCCTGGAATTCTGGGTGGCGGGGAGGTGATACATTTGGCATCATTCTTTCTACCCTCTTCCTCTTGGTAAGATGTCCTTGGTGAATGCAGGAACCTGAGTCTGCAGCATCTGAGCCTATACCACTGTTCTGAGGAGTACGTCCTCCTGGAGGGGCCTGAGCTTGGTGCTCATGAAACAGACCAGGGGAACTAGGAATCCTAAGGGGCTTTTCCTACAAGAAAGACAGGCCACCTCTCCAGCACCACCCTCATTAACTTCCAAACCTTCCCATTTCAGCCCCCATACTCTCCCCACTTCCATGTCTACATGGGAACCTTGTCTTTGGGATAAAGAAGTCTCCAGAAGTCTTTTGAAATGCTGAGCTATGACAACTCCATAGTTAGCAGCTAAAACATACAGAGCATTCAGTAGTAGTTAACAGTATGTGCTCAGAAACCACACATATTGCTACTGTTCAGTAGTCATGTGACCTTAGGCAATTTGACATCATCTCTGTTTCAGAATCCTCCTTTATAAAATGTGAGCGTTGATAGGACTTAACCACAGAGTTGGAATGAGAATTAAAGGAAAAAAGGGCCAGGCACGTAGTAAGTGCTTCATTAATATTAGTCATTATTATTATTATGCCCAGAAAACATGACAATGGATTTACAAGCTTGGTGGCATCGATCCTCAAAGTAACGCTTTGAGGCAAATGAGGAAATCATGGTTCAGGGAAGGTGCATGATGCTAAGGGTTTACGGCATTTCAAAATTCCATTAACTGACTCTGAAAATGGGAATCTCAATCCCATGCTATAGTGGCTCCCAGAAGACTGTCCAAAGACCCTAAAGGAGAGAGTCTTTCTATTGGAAACTTGAAGGTAGTGAGGGTTTGCAGGAGGTGGGGGAATTGCTTCGAAAAGAAATGGTGAGTTGTTATAGGGCTGGGGTTATGAGGCAGCACTGTGAAAATCCTGAGCCCCTTCTGGGGACAGGGAAGTGAAGACAAGCTACCCTAATGCCAGAGTGGGCCTGGGATGAGAGCATGACTGGCCCCTTCAACATCCCAAGGGAGTATATTTTCCCCTACCTTAGATAGATGTCCCCGAATCAGAATAAAATGTGAAATCCAAGAAAGGAGCCAATGTTCTGCACAAAAACCTTGCCCGGGAAACCTGAGGTGTTGCACATACAGCTGTGGAAGGAGATGTTTAGACCTCACACAAGGTAACACAAAGACCCCTTAACTACCTAATGCCCTTATCCTTGTCAGACCCCTCCCCTGAGTCATTGGACTGGGTTGGTCTCCGACCAAAAGTCTGGGTGCATCCTTCACTTAATACAAATCCTGGCAGTGTGGGTCTTGGGAGGCATGGATCTGATTTCAGTTCTGCCTCTATTACAGTATCTCATATGGCAATACCATTCGCCTTTCGGGGCCTGTTTCCTCATTCATAAGGTAAGCGTGGATCTTGGGCCACAGGGCCTCTTAGCTGTTCTTCTGTGTTCTCTGAGATGCCATGTAGCACTGAAGTCCTGTCAACTGCCAAGATTCTGTCAGGTGATATGAAAACTATAAGACACAGGTATACACTTTGTATGTTCTGGCTTTTTTCTCCAGTCCTTTCTGACCATGTTTGACCTCCTACACTTATTATCCTCTGACTAGATCATTGGGCTCTAATAAAGATTATAAGGAACTCTTCAGAAATTTATCTAGTCTACTTGTCTAATCCAGCTTCATCCTTCCTCACCTTTCTCATCTCTTACCATGTTCATGTTCACTCTCTGCCCCTGGCCTCTCTAGGCCTTCCCATGCTGCTTCCCAACACATGACCTTTGTTCATGCTCCTCTCTATGCCTGGAAAGCTCTTCTCGCCAACCTTATCTACCAAATACCCGTCTTTCAGATCGTAAATTTTGGATCCTTGTTTCCAGGAAAATCTTTTCTGACCTTCCTGAGTACATTGAGCAACCCTCAGCATGGAGTTCAGGAGCAACAGTAAATATATAAATATAACAGTTGTTGTTGTTGTTAAGTGCCGTCGAGTCGGTTCCGACTCCTAGCGACCCTGCACAGGGTTTCCGAGGCTGTTAATCTTTACGGTAGCAGAAAGCCTCATCTTTCTCCCGTGGAGCAGCTGGTAGTTTCGAACTGCTGACCTTGTGGTTCGCAGGTCGATTCGTAACCACTACGCTACCAGAGGAAATTTAAATAAAAATACAGCCATTAAGACCTTGGGCAAGCCATTTTGGCTTCTGTGGGTGGAGGGAAAATGGGATGCACCATAGAATTGTATATGGAGAACTGGAACTGGAGGAGAGGCTTTTAGGGGGACAAGAATAAAAACTGTTTGTGGAGGACCATGTGGCGCGTCTGCCCATGTCTACAGGGCTGGGTGCCCAAGTTTGCTAAATCAAATAAAGAAAACCTCACTCTCGCTAAAATGAGTACAGACTGGTTTACTTGAGTGTTTGTCAGTATAGACAACGTTTCTCACAGGTATGAAGAATGGAACCAGGAAAGACAGCACAGAAGAGTTGATGTCTAGGAAGCTTTGGAAGGATGAAGAGAATTGGAGTGTGCCTAGTTAGCAAGAGATGACTAGATAGTCCAGGCATGTACAGAGGCACAGAAGTGTCTAAGAGCATGATATTTTCAGACCACAAAGTTCAATGGTGGATGTCAGTAGACGGAATAAGAAATAAAGCTAAAGGAGGAAGAGGAAACAGATTCTGAGGTCTTTTCTGGGGTTCAATCAAACTTATCTTAAGCCCAATAGATCAGTAATTCTGTAAGTCAATGTAGAGTAGGTTGGAAAAGTCTTGGAGATCAATTGGTGACCTTGCATGGCAGTTCTGTCTGGAGATAATGATGCTGAATTAAGAAAGTGGTAGAAGGGAAGTAAAGGAGAACTATTTAAGAGATAAAATCAGCTAGATTGAGTTGTTCAGTTATGAGGGAGACACAGCAAAAGAAGTAATGTAGTATGGTCTCATTTGCTCCATACAACAGCCCTGTAAGAAAAGCAAGGTGGGATTTTATGTTCTCGTTTTACAGATGAGGACATCTAGAATCAGAGAAAGAAAATGAATGGTTAAGATTCACACAAAATTCAGAGCTGAGCCTTGAGTCAAAATCACCTGATTCTCAATGGCGATAATGAGAACAATGTTCAGACAGAGGTAGAAGTCCACCTCTCAAATATCTCTGTTGTGTGGTCTCCCTGCAGACATCTGCAGTATGACAAAGGATAAGGGCCCCTGCCTGGCTTACATCCCACGCTGGTGGTATGATAAGAAAGCTGAAAAATGCCACAAATTCATCTATGGTGGTTGTCAAGGGAACAATAACAACTTCCAGTCTGAATCCATCTGTATGATCAGCTGCCACAAAAAAAGTGAGTCTTAGGGGTCCCAGTCTTAAGTGGGTGGTCTGAGTATTGTTTGGTCCACTCAGGATGGCTAGGCCCTTGGCAGATCTGTCACTGACAGAATCAGCTCCCATCAAGGGATAAGGATACGTCACACAGAAATCTAGAAGGGTATTTTGGGAAAGAAGGGGATAAGGGAGACAGTAGTCAAAAGGAATCTGGCATTATTACGTGAGTGGAGGGTGAGAAGGGAAAACACAGAGATAGGGGCATGTCCAAGGCCAAATTGGAAGGAGGCACAGTAATATAACCCAGCCCAGTGCTGGGTACCATTTATGAGCCAATCATACCATGTCTTTACTTCTCCCCAGTCCTCATCACCAATTCTCATCTTTTCCCTTTTAAGACACTTAAAGTCAGGGAGTCCTGGTGTGGCACTGCAGGATAATGCACTGGACCACAAGGTCGGTTTGAATCACAAGGTCCCCTCAGACACCGTTTAAAAGGTCGCTATGAGTTAGAACCGACTTGACGGCACTTAACAACAACAACAACCGCGTCAGAGAAACTGTATAATTTATTGGCTAAACCAGGTCACTTTTGAGAGTGAAAGGGGACAACAGGCATAATAGGGACTCTATTTCACAAATCAGAATATATGATCACTCTGAGCCCAAGAGATCCACTCCACTTCCATTTGATTTTCCTGTGTAAGAATACAACAATGATTCCACCTTCCATTAACTACAAGGTTTGGTTTCTAAAATGGACAGAGCCCAAGCATCTCACCTTTTTCTCTACTCCTACCTTGTAGGTTCAACATATTCTTGGATAAACTAAGGCGAACGGGAATCTCCAGTATCTGGTTTATAACCCAATGCAGTTTCTATGTATGCCTGACTGATTGAGCACACCGACTTCCACTGGCCAACTCTCAGCTACCAAGATCTTGGATAATCTTCAAACTGACCACCAGGATTTGCTTTCTCCCTTTCCTCCAGCTCAGCTTCTTTTCAAATACACTGTCCTTCCCCCTTTGGCCCCTTAGCAGGGGTTATGTTCCTATCTCTTACACTTTCAAGGCTCCCATTTATCCCGATGAAGCCCCCAGTTTGTTCAGTAAAGTGTTCTGTAAGGCCTGACTTCGCTGAGCCTCTGTAATTTGTATCTGTTCTCTAGTTGCAGCTATATGCAGAATAAGGTCATTGGATTGCCTGGCTATGTGCCGTGGAGTCAGTTCCGACTCATAGCGACCCTGTACAGGGTTTCCGAAGCTGTAAATCTTTACAGGAGCAGAATGCCTCATCTTTCTCCTGTGGAACAGCTGGTAGTTTTGAACTGCTGACCTTGCAGTTTGCAGCCCGTTTCTTAACCACTACACTATCAGAGCTCCTTGCCTAGTGACATCAAAACAGGGGTTTAAAAACCAACCAGCTTTGTAGAGCTGACTTCCGGCACTTCCCTGACTGGGCAGCACAGGTACACAGGCTCAGGAGAAAGGGTGGGTGGTATCACACAGGGGAGGCCCCCGCCTGGTAGACAGGCAGCCGTTGGGCAAACATAAGACTTTAGCCTTCAACATTATGAACTTGCTTTTTTTTTTTTTTTTAATGTTTTATTGTGAATTATATGATA